TAATTGTAGTATATATAGTTTTGACATTATTGCAAAGTGGGAGCTTTCTAAAGGAGAAATATTTTTGTTGGTTTTGTAAGACTATTTGTTCAGAGAAATTAGTTAGATGTGTTACTACGTTTGCAGGTAGATGGGACTGCCACTAGGGGGCAGTATCGACATCATATGTGCGACAATGAGCGGCCCAATACCCTGAAAAAAAAAAAAATTAAACACTATGTATAAATATGCACAAATAAAACACCAACTGCAACATTTTTCATACAATGACTTTTTAAAGTATTTTTTTTATTCCAAATAAGTTTCTATATATTGAACATCAGAGTGAGGTGTCCCTCCTAAAGTCACCCCACAGGTCAATATCAATAATATTAACGATAACAAGACAATCATCTGAATGATGTCTCTCTGTTGTCTCTGTCCTGCTGAACGGCTGAGCAATGCTGGTACAAATCTGAGAGAGGAGCCGGCAAATTATGATGAAATATGCAACACAACACTCCCTTTCTCTCACTCACACAGACACACGAACACACACTTGTACCTTTAAGGCTATAATTGTGAGGCCATCAATTTTACGCTTGCCTTTCCAGGCTCCTAATGTTTAACCTTAACGATAGAATTTTAATTCTTGTCAAATTTGAATTTTTGAACAGCTGGAGAATTCTCACAGGTTCTCACAAAGATAGACAATAATACACATTAACACACACCCAATCACCAGCACCTCACTGGGCTGCGACTGCAATGCTGGCACATTGTTAGCAAACGTTCTTCCCAGGGGGAATCTCTAAAATGTTTCAAAAAATGTTTGCGGGGGGTTCTCAATATCCTTGCAGGAGTTGCAAAAGTGTGCAATCCTGTTGCATTCATTTATCGTTTCAAAAACGTATCAGATTAAATCATAAACAGGTGAGTGGATGCACAGGTGGACATAAAGCAGGCTGAGGTTGGAATGTGGGCTTAAAAATAATAAATTAAACACCKTTTGTGTGTTTTTGCTCTTCAGTCTCAGTGCAGTTAGTCACTACTTTTACACAAGCAGAAACACTCAACATTTCTCTCCTGAAATGTACATTTTTCATCAACATTCTTCTCAGCTGTTGCTGCAGCAGTCAATTCAACATTTTAAGTGAAGAAAATAAAAAGAATACAGTACAAAAACAAAGCATACATTTTTTTCAAAACAATATTTTCATTTGCTCACTTTACACTTACAAAACTGTAAAGCTTGTATGAAAAGAACTGACATTCATCATCAGCACTTTGATCAGAAGTTGTTGGTCGACATGAGTTACTTTCAGTGGAGGCAGTTAATGTTTCATTGTTTAAACTGCACCAACCTGGGATTACAACAAATCATTGTGACATCAGTTTAAAAGGACTTGAGTACTTCCTGTAAAAAAAAAAAAAAAAAAAAAAAGAACAGAAAAAAATGTTAAATTTTAGACTGGACGCTCTGAAATACTGCTCTACCACACTACAGGTAAATGTGTGTGGAKAYGYGTTTACTGTGTGTGTACAACACAACATGTCTGACCTCCAATAACTCACAAAAACAGGCTAAAAACAGCATGAATACTGACCTAAAATAGATATAACTGCACTGAGGTAGTTCTTTTTTAGTAACCATATGGAAATTATCCTATTTATACCCTATTATTATTGTTATTATTGTTATCATTGTTATTATTATTATTATTATTATTATTATGGTTATTATTATTATGATTATTAGTATTATAGAAAAGGCATCATGGTTTTCATAATGTATCCCGCAAAGTTATATTAGAAGAAAAAATAAAATAAAATAAAATCAACACCAAGAACTAAATCTCAGCATGTTTCATGTTACTAAAATATATTCTACAGCAATAATTAAAATTATTGACAATCATGAGACTAAAGTACATTTTTTATTCATGTTTTCTAGTTTTGGACGTTTACACTATGTTTTGGTTTTTAGCTATACCAATAGCCAATGGATAATGTGCTTCATGTCTTGAGGCTCAACTTTTATTTTGAAATTTTTCAATTTATACTAGAAGAATGTTCAGTAATTACCAATWTAAGAAAGCAATTATATTTTTCCGAAAATTGATCATAATTGGAGTAAAAACTGTAGTAAGAACAGGTGTGGGCTAAGCCTCTGATGTGTTTTCAGTAAGCACAAACAAACTGAAAAACAACACATATAACAACAATTTCTTGCTGTAGAGTTTCAATAGAAGGTCACAGAAGTTAAAGTATTGATGCAGAAATAATCTCATGTTGCAAAATGAAAATAAATCTGTGAGGGCTGGAACATTTGGAGCGGCTTCAACAACTCTGGTGTGTTTAAAAATGAAGTGATGTTTGCAGCATCAGAGGTTGAGATGAAGCCAATACAAAAGTATTCTGCACTGGGTTTAATATTAATTGTTTATCTACTGAAGAAACAATTAAAAAGCAAAAAAATAAAATAAAATAGTGTGCAAACTTGGTAATGTCTGATCTGCCTTTTTTATTTGTCTTTTTAACTCACTGCATGAGTGAAACATGAATATGTTGAGGTTCACTGTAAAAAGCCAAAACTCTCTTAGATTTAAAAGCAGCTGAACTCCTTCAATAATTGGATTAATAAAAAAAATCCAAAACACAGCAAAAAACAAAACAAAAAAAAAAACAATTTTCTATATAAAGTCCCTCAACTTTAGACAATAAATGAAGCATTTAAAACAGGTGGTCTCTACAGRATATTCAKATTCAGATGCTTGATTTTGTTTAGCAGCCTACTTTGGGTCATTGTCAGCAGCCATCACTGAATTTATACTATCAGTTCAAAAAGTAGTTTTATTGACTCATTAGATGCCCATCTAATTGCAAGCAATTCAGCAAACAAAATTAAATTATTTTACTGTGTAAAATCAAAGTAGCTGTTACTTTTTGATTTGACAGCTTGCTGCAGTGATGAAACTATGAATGTTAGAAATAAAATAAAATAAAACAACTTGAATGTTTCAGAACAAACATTATGTTCATGCGCGTTAGTTCAGTAAATAGGAAGCTTATCTTTGCTCAGTATAAAGTTTGTATTTTATATTAATAAAATAATAAAAATCTATAACAAATGACATCTCGAAGTCTGTTATGAATTTATCAGCTGAACTACGTTTGTGACATCAAAGTCATCGGGTAAAATATTCAAACTGACATTATGGAAAATTGAAAACAGCAGACGAAAGGTGAACGCTGGTCTGCACTTTTGTGTTTTCTCTTCAGTTTTATGACATATTCACTGAAAACACTGCACCATTCTATCGCAGACATTCACAGTATAAGGCTAAATTGAAACAGTTTGGTGGTTTGTTCACTTCCTCACTGCTGGCAAAAAAGGGTCTATCCAACCAGAGTTTGTTTAAGTGTATGTTGACTTTTTAGTACTCCAGTTATAGCTTTGCTAGAAGTACCAATAAACAACTTAAAGAAAGTTCATTAATCCAATTATACACTGTTTTTCATAAATTTTAGGAGCTCAGCACTAAGTCAATCTGTCTGTCTTCATAAAAACTGTAATTTACTGCTGCAAAAAGAGCTAGAAAATCAGTCATGTTAAAAACAATGCACTCATTGAAGAATTTGATTTTAACATATAACATGAGACAACAAATTAACTTGGTAGGCAAAGGCCAGTAGTCCCATTGGTTTTCAAAAACATATACCTTAGAGAACAGGAACTAAATATAGSTGACAGCATACTAACAGAAAACTACTTTCTGATTGGCTGATTGGTCTTAAATTTTGTTTAAACACCTCAAACACAGACCCTCAATTTAGTTTTTACAAAAATAACGACCTTTTGTTGATTCTCAGCCCTTCCCTTTCACAGTTTCTGATGCCTTAAAGTTATTTTTGTCTTAGTTTTAAGTTCTAACACATATAGAACTACCCCAGCACAGTGTTGCACACTTCAGATGAGCATCGATGTGTGTTTTCTAGACCACAGCACCAGCCAGCAGGAGTCTGGACTAACAGCAACGTTGTTGAAAAGCACTCCTCCACAGACGTCCAAAAGAGTGACAGAAGATCACAATAACTGTACAGCTGCTCTGCTACCACATGTCTGTGTGTAAGTCTCATATACGAACACCTGGTTTGGTATTGAAACTGAAAAAACACCAGAGTGCTGGTGAACTCTGCAGCTTTACGTCTYCGAGTCTTATTTCTAAGAGTGTTATGATTAACCGAGGTAAGAGGTGGAGTTCTGGATCTGACAGCTACTTCCTGCTCGTCCATCGTTTGCTGTGCTGCAACCCAAAGATCCCAAACACTTTCAGGTGGTTGGAACCGGAGTTTCTTGTCTGGTCGTTTCTTTATGCTACCAGGTTAGGGTGAATATTCCACCAAACCCTGTGTAAAAGTTTGCAACGGAGCCAAAGTGGCAACATTTCAGTAATCGACCCTGCAAACGGGTCGGGATAGGTTCTTTCATCTACGTCTGCAGATACAGGCCAATTTGGACAAATACAGCCGAGCTGTTTGGGCCAAACCAAAGGTTCTGATAGTTTCTGGGATCTGTGAGCCCCCCCACTTTAGYTGTTTTTAGGCACAGTCATGCCCCCCCAGTAAGTCCGTCGATGGGTGCGTTTTGGCAGGAGGCAGTGGCCTGGGCGGAGGTGCTGGTTTGTTTTGAGCCTGCAGTGGGCTCGCAGTCCCCCCGTCACTGTCAGCTCTGTCCGTTGGGATTGGGGGAGGAGGCGGGGGTAGGCGGGGCAACGACATGGAGCCGTGGTGGTAGTGAAGGTGGTGGTGATGGAGGTTGTGGCGGTGGTGGAGACCCGGCGTCGCCAACGACGGCGGCGCGCGAGAGCACGAGGAGGCGGAGGAGGAGGAGGACGGGGGCGGGGGCGGGGGAGGCGTGAGCGTGGCCGGCCTCAGGCTTTGAATCCTCCGACACTCCTGGCAGATGCGGATGTGGCTGCAGCTCTGCAGGAAGCTTCGCGGCGGAGCGGGCGGAGCCTCCAAGGCCGAGGCGAGGGGAGGTGGAGGAGGGGCGCTGCTGGTGACGTTGGCACCGAACGCGTCCTCGAAGAGCCTCTGTGGCCCCGGGCCCAAGTCAGGTCCTCCTCCCATGCCTCCCCCGAGTCCCGCCAGGCCTCCCGTCAGCGGGCCGGCACCGCTGTAGAGCTTCCCGTTGCTGAGACGCATCTCTCGAACCAGGCGGATGGGTCGAGGACCGGCCAGAGTCAGGCGGGACGGGTGGCGTAGGACTCCGCCCCCGCTGCTAGTCAGGGTCCGCCGCCGCCGGGAACGAGAGTTTTTCTTACAAGAAACAGCATTTCGAAACTCGGTCAACATCTCCTGACAAACAGAGACCTGAAATACAAAAATACGATGATGACGTATGAAAAAGTGTGAACTCAGAAAAAGAAAAAAAAAAGACATCTGCCTCATCTGGTCAACTCTGTCATCATCATTCACTTAAAAAAAGACGGCTCTTGTTTTGGAGGTGGAGTTTATTGGTGGTTAACAAGCATCTTCAAACTATCATGCTGCCAATAAATGGTTTGGTACTGTGATAATAGAGCACTTTGTGTGTACAAATACACACATGRCATGGGACCAATCCCCAGCACTGGTATCTGTGTGTTCCAGCAGACAAACCTCAACATTCTTTAATGATGAGTTAAATGCGGTAAATATCAACAGACTGTATGTGCATTCTAAAGTTATTGTTTTACATATGATCTGCACAAAATGTTCTGTTATTTCTGTCGTTTGTTTTATGATTTTTTGTGTTTGTTATTCTAAATATGAAATCAAGGCAGAAATAATCTTGGAGAAAAAATACATTGTATTCATATAAAGACTGGACAAAGGAGGTGTGAACACGTTTTCATCACTATGTGGTAATGCTCTGCAGCTTTTCACATCAAACCAATGTTATCTGGTAATATATTTGTGTGTGTGTGTGTGTGTGTGTGTGTGTGTGTGTGTGTGTGTGTGTGTGTGTGTGTGTGTGT